AGCCTCCTTGTGAGCCATCTGAGTCTTATACCAGCTAGCCACTTTGCAACTATGCAGCCATGCAGAATATTATCTTTGTATAAATATAAGCTGTCACCTTACTTTCCTTTGTCCAGCTATCAAGTTTCTTATGCTCTTTAAAATCATTTTTACATTTATCTTGGAATGACTAATACATTCCCTTGGTATAAATTCAGAAAGTAAAAAGGGTTTACAGTGAAACATCTTCCACCCACACCTGTCCCCCAGTTATCCAGTGCTCCTCATTGAAGGAAAATAATGTTACCAGTTTCTAATTTATTACTCCAGAAATTGTTTATGCTAATATTTTTCCACACTGTGATCCACGGGACCCCTGTGTGTGTTTCCAAGCTTCATTGAAGAGGTCTGTGAGGTCAGAACTATTTTTTTATGATAATAAGACATGGTGATGCAAAAGCAGTGGTGGATAAAACCACTAGTATCTTGACATGAGTCAAGACAGTGGCACTAAACTATACTAGGAGTCATTATTGTATTTTTCCCTACCACGTATTCACAGTGAAAAACATTCAAATTTCACTTAAGAATGTCCCTGATGAAGTAGGAAAAGCTAATAATTTTGTTAAATCTTGACTCTAGTGTCTTTTTAATATTCTATCTGATGCAAAATGAAGTACGCACGAAGCACTTTTGCTGTACCCCAAAGTGCCAGGTTATCTCAAGGGAATGCTTTTGCGTGGTGGTTTGAGTTGCAAACCCAACTAGCTGCATTTTTCATGGAACACTATTTTTATTTGAGAAAATGATAGACAAACCACGGTTATTCATACAAGCGTTTGGGAAACATTTTCTTAAAAATGAACAAAATGTGCCTGTTGATTCAAGAAAAACAAATGACAGTAGGAGCTGCAAATAATAAAATTTGAACTTTCAAGTAAAAATTAGAATTTTGGAAAAACTTGTGTCCACCAGTGTGAGCTCAATATCTTCACAGTATCTAAGAAGTTTTTTGATGAAATTGGTGGTGATACAGCAAATGCAGTTTTTCGATGCTGTGAAATGAGATATGTTAACCTTTAGAAGATATGTGTAACTCAGTAGACCAATATTTCCCAAGTGACCAACATGTGATCCTAAAAATAATGCATGGGTAAAAGAACTATTCAAAGAGCAAAGCAGACCAGTGGATTTTAATGTAATTGGGTATGAATAGTTCTTTGATAGTTTCAGATACTACACTAACTTTTAAGAAACTTGTCGAGTTTTGGTATAATAGCAAAGAAGAATAGCTAGAAATCATATGAAAAGTATTTTAAAATATTTCTCTGTTTGCCAGCCTATCTGAATGAAATCAAATTTCTTTCCTTATAATTCAATCAGAACAATGTATAATAGATTGAATATGGTTGCAGATATGAGAATCCAGATGTCTTCTAACAAGCCAGATATTTAAGAGATTTGCTAATATATACCACTCATTTTGAAAAACCCAGCTAATATTAATAAAATGTTATTTATGGTAACATGTAATTGGTTCATTATTTCTGTATTCTCACATAGTGGAAGGGGCAAGGGAGCTCCCTAGAGTCTCATTTATAAGGGCACTCATCACTTTCCTAAGACCCCATCTCCTAATGTCATCAAATTGGGGACTAGATATCTATATATATATATATATATATTTAGAGGGAAAAAAATGCTGTTGATAGCAACATATATTAAATATAAATACATATATACATACATGTTCTTTATGTGTTCTTTCTTACACAAAACATCCTAGACTCACTGATCCTGCACCTTCCTTTCCGAACTTAACATATCCTCAAGAGTTATTCCATTATCAGTACATATAGATATTCTTTTTATGGCTACATGTTATCTCCTTGCAAGAATCTGTATACTTTAAAAACTAGTCTTTTACTGATGAATTTTTAAAGCTGTTTCGTTCTTAGAGACATGCCCCAGTGAATAACCTGATACCTATCTCATGTCACACACGAGTGAGAAGGTGTGCAGGAAAGAAGTAAAAATGATAACCAAGTATTCAAGTGCATATGTAATTTTGATATATGTCCCAAAACATAGAAGCCTATACTTTAAAAAAAAACCAAGTAATCAAATTGCCACTTTATGAAAATTGCTGTTGTTCAGTCACTAAGTCGTGTCTGACTCTTTGTGACCCCACGGACTGCAGTATGCCAGGCTCCTCTGTCCTTCACTGTCTCCCAGAGTTCACTCAAATTCATGTCCATTGAGTCGGTGATGCTATCGAACCATCTCATACTCTGTTGCCCCCTTCTCCTGTTGCCTTCAGTCTTTCCCAGCATCAGTATCTTAGCCTTTCCCAGCCTCGGGGTCTTAGTCTTTCCCAGCATCAGGGTCTTTTCAAATGAGTCAGCCTTTTGCATCAGGTGGCCAAAATATTGGAGCTTCAGATTCAGCATCAGCCCACCCAATGAATATTCAGGTTGATTTCCTTTAGGACTGATTGGTTTGATCTCCTTGCTGTCCAAAGCACTCTCGGGAGTCTTCTCCAGCACCAGTTTGAAAGCAGAAGTTCTTTGGTGCTCAGGATTCTTTATGGTCCAACTCTCACATGCATATAAACTACTAGAAAAACCATATGGAGCTTTGACTAGACAGACCTTTGTCAGCAAAATGATATCTCTGCTTTTTAATATGCTGTCTAGGTTTGTCATAGCTTTCCTCCCTTCAAAGGACCAAGAGTCTTTTAATTTCATGGCTGCAGTCACTGTCCACAGTGATTTGGAGCCCAAGAAAATATAATCTGTCACTGACTCCACTTTTTCCCCATCTATTTGGCATGAAGTGATGGGACTGGATGCCATGATCTTAGTTTTAATGAAGAGTTTCAAGCTGTTGCTTCTTGACCCGCATACAGGATTCTCAGGAGACAGATAGGTGGTCTGGTATTCCTATCTCTAGGAATTTTCCACAGTTTGTTGTGATCCACACAAAGGCTTTCACATAGTCAATGAAGCAGAAATAGATGCTTTTCTGGAATTTCCTTGCTTTCTCTATGATTCAATGAATGTTGGCAATTTGATCTCTGGTTCCTCTGACCTTTCTAAATCCAGCTTGTATATCGGGAAGTTCTCAGTTCATGTACTGCTGAAGCCTAGCTTGAAGGATTTTGAGCATAATCTTGCTAGCATGTGAAATGAGCACAATAGTACAGTAGTTTGAACATTCTTTGGCATTGTCCTTCTTTGGGATTAGAGTGAAAACTGACTTTTTCAGTCCTGTGGCCACTGCTGAATTTTCCAAAGTTGCTGACATATTGAGTAAAGCACTTTAAGAGCATCATCTTTTAGGATTTTAAATAGCTCAGCTGGAATTCTATCTCCTCCACTAACTTTGTTCCTAATAATGCTTCCTAAGGCCTACTTGACTTCACACTCCAGGATGTCTGGCTCTAGGTGAATGATCACATCATCGTGGTTATCTTTTTTGTATAGATCTTCTGTGTATTCTTCCCACCTCTTCTTAATCTCTTCTGCTTCTGTTAGGTCATTACTTTCTGTCCTTTATCATGTCCATCCTTGCATGAAATAGTCCCTTGATAACTCCAATTTTCTGAAGAGATCTCTAGTTTTTCCCATTCCATTGTTTTCCTCTATTTCTTTGCACTGTTCATTTTAGAAGGCCTTCTTCTTTCTCTTTGCTGCTCTCTGGAACTCTGTATTCAGTTGGGTACATCTTTCTCCCTTGCCTTTTGCTTCTCTCCTTTCCTCAGCTGTTTGTAAACCCTCCTCAGACAACCACTTTGCTTTCTTGCATTTCTTTTTCTTGGGGATGGTTTTACTGCTTCCTATACAATGTCATATCCATAGTTCTTCAGGTAGTCTGTCTACCAGATCTAATCCCTTGAATCTATTCATCAGCTACACTGTATAATCTTGAGGGATTTGATTTAGGTCATACCTGAATGGCTTATTGGTTTTCCCTTTCTTCAACTTAAGCCTGAATTTTGCAATAAGGAGCTCATGATCTGAGCCACAGTCAGCTCCCGGTCTTGTTTTTGCTGGCTGCATAGTTTCTCCACCTTTGGCTTCAAAAAATATAATCAATCTGATTTCAGTATTGACTATGTGGTGATGTCCATGTGTAGAGTTATCTCTTGGGTTGTTGGAAAAGCATATTTGGTATGACCAGCATGTTCTCTTGAAAAAACTCTGTTAGCCATTGCCCTGCTTCATTTTGCACTCCAGGGCCAAACTTTCCTGTTATTCCAGGTATCTCTTGACTTCCTACTTTGCATTCCAATTCCCTACAATGAAAAGGACATCTCCATAGAACTGGTCAACTTCAGTTTCTGCAGCATCAGTTGTTGGGGCCTAGACTTGGATTACTGTGATGAATGGTTTGCCTTGGAAATGAACCAAGATCATTCTTTCATTTTTGAGGTTGTACCCAAATACTGCATTTTGGACTCTTTTGTTGACTATGAGGGCTATTCCATTTCTTCTAAGGGATTCTTGCTTACGGTAGTTAATATAATGGGCATCTGAATTGAATTTGCCCATTCTTATACATTTTAGTTCACTGATTCCTAAGATGTTGATGCTCAATCTTGCCATCTCCTGCTTGATGACATTCAATTTGCCTTGACTAATGGAACTAACTTTCCAGGTTCCTATGTAATATTGTTCTTTAGAGTATCAGACTTTACTTTCACCACCAGACTCATCCACAACTGAGCATTGTTTCTGCTTTGGCCCAGCTGCTTCATTCTTTCTGGAGTTATTAGTAATTGTCCTCTCAATTTTATATGTAAGTTGTGGTCTAAACAGAGTTGAATGGTATAAACCTACATACATATATGTAAATTACATGTTTGAGAGCAAAAATTGACTTTAAAAAATAACAATTAAGAAAGATGCAAAATCTGTTGTAATATATAAGGTAAATATTGTAGATTTTCCATAAATGTTCTGTATCATGGATGTAATTTTGGAGAAGTTGCAAGTTTTGCCATTTGGTCTGTAGTTGAAATGATTAGTTCTTTTGCTGGAGGCCCTGAAGCAGCTGGCACTGACCGCACCAATGCACACAAGGTCCCAGCATTTGTAAATTCCAAGTTCATAGTGGCCAGTGAAGGAGATGGTGCTTGTCTTTGTAGAAGCATGATTTCAGAGCCTAGTGGAGATGAATTCCAAGCAAAGACTGTTGCAGAGAAGCAAGATCAGTTCTTGAGTTCTTCACTAGCCATTACAGGTAAATGTAATGTGGGCTCATAGATGTGGGCTGGTAAGTGATATAATGAAGTATCTTTCTGTAGGAGGATGGTATTTTAAAAAATAATTTAAATTTTTTTCTTTTTCTTTTTAAAATTTTTAATTGGAGGATAATTGCTTTACAGTGTGATGTTGATTTCTGCCATACATCAACGTGAATCAGTCATAGGTATACATACGTTCCCTCCTTCTTGAACCTCCTTCCCATCTCCCACCCCATCCCACCCCTCTAGGTTGTCACAGAGCAGGATTTTTTTTTTAATCTTAACATTCTCAAGTAAATTTAAAGAAATGAAAGTCCTTAGTTACCTCCTCCATGTCTCCAAATAAGCTTCACAATTTTTTTCATACTTATTGATCAAATTTTGCTCATTATATGGTGTCCCATATCTCCCATTTTATCTTCACATATCAACTAAAATACCATCTTTTCCAGAAAGCCTCACAAGTTTCCCTTAAACTCAACCAAATTATTTGCCTTCCTATTCCCATAGCATTTTGTACATTTTCTGCCATATTTATTTTTGTACTTTTACCACCAATATTTTTCCAGTATATATTATGATGCAATATTATAATTACCCATTTACTGATAACATCCCCACTATATTTTACATCTTAAGGAATGTGATGATATGTATTTTATTTAGTGTGTTTTATTCTCAGACAGATATATAACCTAGTATACTGCCTGGCATGCAGTAGATACTCAATAAATATTTGTTGAAAAAATAGGACAAATTTAGCTGAAATATGGGCTCTGGGTATCTGGAAATTTTAATTGAAAAGTCCATGGGGTCCTAGCAACTATTTTAAACAGCCCTATTTTCACATCATCTGTTTTACTGTTTCACATAAAATTTCTAGCAAGACAAATATACATAAGTATTTCTGGTATAGATACACTAGTAGTTTGATATAATTTAGAATGCTATTTTCTCTGCTGTTTTCTGTACTTTCCCTAGTGATATTAGTGCTATTTGCCTTATTGACCATCAATGACACCTTGGGCCTAAGAGGAAAAAAATGAATTTTCCAAGAAATAACAGGATAAATCATGCAGGAAAGGTACAGTCAGTACTCTGGTATAATACACACATCAATAGGCCAGTGAAAGCATGCTTTAGATGATGTCAAAATGAAATTATTTTTCTATCTTTTGATCAAAATTGATTTATTTTCCTTGGTTTCTAAACTACCATAGGTCAACCAAAGGAAGCGGAATCTCAAGAGGTGGGGTACCATCAGCATCTTTTAATTCTGAAAAAGCTTCTTGCGTGTCAGCTTCCAAGAGGAAGGATCAAGGGAGGAGGAACACACGAGAGGCTGGAGCTCCAGGACGCTTCTTCCCCTGCCACCTCCTCACTTTCCTGTAAGGCAAGGTCCTGTTCATTTTCCTTGAGAAAACTTCTCTAATCCTTTCATTCCAGTTAGAAGTTATTATTCCCTCTTCTTTGCACTCCTTTACGATCTTCCCACCCATATACATGCATTTTTGACTGATCTTGTGTATCTTCTGATAGAAAACGGGTTTCTTGGGGGTCCACTTGGGTTGTCTCATGTCATCTACCATGATGATTCACATATGACAATGCTCTAAAGCTGTCAAATGCCTTAGTATCTCTGCAGTGACTTGCCCCTCTTGTCTATACAGACATGTGATGTAGAGAACAGGAGTATTCAGAAAAGGTGGGAAAAAGATGCTAGACTAACTCTTAAAAATACAGAAAAGCTTCTGCAAGTATAAGAGGATTTAGATGAAGGAAGTAAAAAATCATTTCAAGAATACCATGACTTAGCTTAAACACTGGCCATAGGCCTAGTTCAAATCTTGATATTAACATTTAGAAGTGTGTCATCTTGACTTACCTCTATAAGCCATAGTTTATTCATCTCTCCAATGGGGATAAAGAGTAGCTATCTGTGTTAGCTGGCCCCCAAGGTTCCTCCGGGCTGCTGTGTACTGTTTAATCATCTCCCCTTGACTGTGGGATGAATGTGATGGGATTCTACTGTACTGATTAGATTATGTTATGTGATAAAGGAGAAGGGATTTTTTTAGATGTAATTAAGGTTTTAATCATCTGACTTTGAGTTAATCAAAAGGGTGATTATCCTGGGTCGGCCTGAGTTAATCAGGTAAACCTTTTAAAGGAGGGTCGAGGGCCTCCCTAAAGGAGATGTTTCAAGTGAGAGAGACTTTTCTGCCAGGAATGAAGAAGCAAATTGTCATTTGTTTTTTTTGTTTTTTTTTTTCTCCCTTCATTTCCTGCCTATATTATTCTTTTTCCTTTCTTTGAACTAGGTCAAAGTTCTTCATGCACATTAGTTTGGTGCACCCCTAGGCTTTTCAAAATCTGTATATATCAGGATAGGTGAGAGAAAGCTCCTGCAACAAATCTAATTATAAAATTTTAGATGCTATCACAACAAAAGATTACCTCCAATTCTTGGTGGATATCCAATACGGGTTATCAAGGAAACCTACTCCACAATGCCACTCAGGGATCCAGGTGACAGGAACACAACCATCTCAACACGTCAAGCACTCCTGCAAACTACTACCTCAAAGCATCACACAGTGTTGTGGCCACTGCTGAGGTCTATGGTCCACTGGCCGCAAATTGTCATTTGTGAGAGGCCCATAGATGTGGCAAGACCTGTAGGGCCCTGTATGAGCTTCCAACTGGCAGACAACCTGCAAGAAAAAAGGGACTTCAATACTGTGGCAAGGAGCAGAGCTCTGCTGACGATGCACGCGCTCAGGAGAGACCTCCAAGCCTCCGGTGAGACACTGGTCCTGGCTGACACCTTGACTCCGCCTTGTGAGTCCTTGGGCCAAGGACCCAGTTTAGCTGGGCCTGGAGCCCTGACCTCTAGACAATGTGAGATCATAAATGTGTGTGGTTTTCAGCAGCTACCATGTGTGGTAATTTGTTACACAGTAATAGAAACAAATACACTACCTTATAGGGAAGATTTGCAGGTTACCAACAACTGATTCTGGCTAAAATTAGACTGCTTTCTTTTTTTAAAGCAGAAGTTATTGGAACAAAATTTAGTATGTCAAAAAGCTGAAGGAAAAGATAAGTGACTAGGTCTTGGGGTAACAGACACCAGGGCTACTGTGAAGATATCATTTAGAAACTTGGGGAGTGCACTCTGAAATAACCTATCTACAGCCAGCTACTCAAGTCACTCAGCCCATGAATCAGTCGATACTCCTGACAGTCAAAATGGCCTCACTTTCGTCACCCACCCATTCCTTGATGATAGGAAACTGTGGACAAGCCCCTAAGGTCACATGGAATGAGTCTGCAAGCTCCCTAAAGAGAAAATTGGTGCTATCAGTGAAAGAAGAGGAAAAGAATCTAGGGTAGTCACACACACACACACACACACACACACACACACAAATCCACCTTGCTGTTTCATAGGATTGTCAAGAAGACATGAGATAATATAGGCCAAGTGCCTTGCACATTTCTTGGCACTCTGTAATCAGTTGTAAACTATTAGGCATAATTATTAAGCACCAGGGGGCCTAAGTCTCATCTAGAAAGCAAAAGAGAGAATTCTGCCCCTGAAGATGAAAAGAGAAATCCCATCTTGATGAAAGAAAGATTTTCCTAGCATTCAAGAAAATAGCCTTCAGTGTCCGAGGCTACCTGGATGACTTATAATTAAAAGCTTATCAGAAGATAGAACACTGTCGGTTCCTCAGTGCTCTTTGTGCTAATTATCTCCATGTGCTCAAAAGAAACCAGCTGTCATTTGGACTCCATCAAACTCCAGTGGGTCAGGAAGGGAAACCAACAGTTAGCGGCTACACATTTTCTCACACAACTCTTAACGGTTGGCTCACATTTCTGACAGTAAACATACCGGATGGTGCATAAGCCCATCCATCTATGTTTGAATCATGGCTTTACATTTGAAATTTTAGAAAATTCATTCAGATGTGAGATGACAGTCCACTTACTGAGGATCACAAATGGAATCTAGAACAGCTATAAGTACCCAGTACTGAGTGATGCCATTGTGTTAGAGAGGCAGGCTCTCCTTTGATCTTTGTGTTAGAGTATGTTACTGGCCAGTATGCCTCTCCTGAGAAAGGCCTGTCTATGAGGTGGTGTCATTTTTGGCCTGAAACATCACTGATGGCTGAATTTAACTTCCATTATGTTCTGTTCTACTCCACAAGTATTTATCGAGCCCCCCATTATGTGCAATGAACTGTATTAAGTGCTATGATAGATTAAAAAAATGAATAGATAAGATAGAGCTCCTGACCTCGGGGGAATTTTATTATCTCAGAAGAGAGACAAACGTTTATGGGGACCAGATACAATAGAGAGCAGGATGTGACCAGCACGAAAACAGATGCAGAGACAGAAGAAAGCTTTCAATTTCAAGTGTAATGACCTGGAGTTTTTCATGGTGGAGGTAGAGTTTGAAGCCTTCTCAATTATATGGCGCTCTGGGACAGGTAGCTCTTTTATTCATCAGCTTGTTTGTTCATTGTATTCCCAGGGTCTAGCACAGTCCCTGGTATTTAATATATGTAACTTGAATTAGGACAAAAATTTAATTGCAGTAAAATATACATACACAGTGGGACCTAATGTCCAAGTGAATGGGTGAATGAATGAGTAAAAGACACTTAACCTACTGTATAAAAAACTTTTTTTGCATCTAGATTTTGTCTTTGGTTCTAGTCATTAGTGGTGGTCTTGGGGTTATATAATATGTTGGAATTTAATATGTGGAAGCACAAACTTTTAGGCCCCAAATTAGGATTAGGATAAAATTTTAACTTCCCATTAAAATTTACTGATATAAAGGTCAGAGTAGGATATACTGGAGAGCTCTAAGATGCCTTGGAGAAGGAAATGGCAACCCACTCCAGTATTCTTGCCTGGAGAATACCATAAGCAGAGGAACCCGGCTAGCTAAAGTCCCTGGGGTTGCAAGAGTTGG